AATTTAGCCAAGTCACTTCTATTCAAACTTGTCGCTGCGAACTTTGCATTTTCATTTGGATCAGAATGCTGTGCTTGTTGTTGTAATCCTTTCTTCTCGAGGTTTTCAGGCCCTTCGAGTCGAAAGCGTTTTATCCTGGTCGCATGATCTTCGAAAATTTTGTATCGATCTTTGGTTTGCGGTTGTTGGTGTTCAGATATTCGTAAGAGAAAGGTTTCCAGGTGAGATGCGAGTTCTGCGGTGAAGGAACGTAAGTCGGAGAAACCTACATGTTGATAAAGAGCAGTACGTTAATTAACATTTGAATAAAAAAATTGATTCCATGATAGTTAGTAGTACCTGGGACACGTAAATCCAAATGAATTACATGGTATTTATCGTCTGTAAGGATTTCATGTAATAACGCGGTTTTTCCGGTGCTATCAGGTTACATAAATTTGTTCAACTAATATACATATGATAATGAATGAAGACGTCGTTCACAACTTATCACCTTCTGACTCCATTAATAATGATCCATCTGGGATCTCCTCGCAAAATTTCATCAATAGTTCGTTTCTCTTTCTCACGTCCCCAAAAATTTGGCATCCGTTTGAACGTGTGAGTTGGTGGTGGAGGTTTGAATTTTTCGTAAGTTTCAAGAGCTTGGATTTCCAAGTCTTGAGCGACTTCCCGTGAATTTTCAGAACCGTTAACAAGAAGTGATAGAGGATTCATTAATGATTTCATGATGGAAAGGGTCTTTCGGGCGATGGATAAAGGAAAAAAAAAATTAGAATACGGACGAAAAGGATTGATGCGAAGAAGAGGTGAGAAATGGGCGGGACGTATACGATAAGAGAAATGCATCTCAACATATTTTATCTTGAAAAGAGAGTTATATGATACTTTATTGCCGGATGATGCACTTATTTGAAATCTTGTACCGTGATTACGTATTGTTTAAATGAGATCACAGAATGATGTAGAAAAGAATTTTATTTATATGATTTGTCAAAGAAAGCAATGGAATCCACAAGGAAAGAAAAACTCCCGGTGCAAAGAATGGACGTCATCACATATCATTTTCTTCCGCAAGTTCCAATTTTTATATAAACCGACTTCCAAGAACATTGTTTATCTTCTATTCTATTGCATAGCGTGAATATTATCGAATACCAAATCCACGAATGGTGACAATGTCATTTTTTAAATTTAATCAGTCTGTATGAGCCAAACAGCTTCCCGAGACTATTTCATCATGGGAAAACTTATTGTTTATACACATTTCCACTGTTAATATATGAA